CCCCGAAGAGCTTAGTGCCACCCCATCCCGCCCTTGCCCCGCATGCAGATCTGGGGGCACACGCCCCCCCAGTGCCCTCCCAGGGTACGTGCAGAGCCTCGCCCCTGAACAAGCTGCTCGTGGCTCTGTTCCTTGCTCCACCCCGGCTGTGTAGCACCTGCCCCTACCCCAGCCCCACTCCCTCTCTCCCTTGCCGCAGGAGCCTCTGTCTGCCCCCACCCAACAGACTTACCAGCTGGATGGCACTTGCCATGCTGGCTGGTTGCATATTGGATTGGTATCGGCTTATATGGCTCGTTAAAAATTGGCCATTGGTATCGGTCCAAAAATTCTCTGGCTGTGCACTCGATGCTAGAGATTCGTTCAGAGAAGTATCCTACTACAGAATCTTAAATCCTCATTTAAATCTGTTGAGGTTTGCATTGGACTCCGTGTCTGATAGATTATTATATTTTTCTTGTACACTGCATGTCTTGTTTTGGATAGGCAGAATGTAGAAAAAAATTATTTTGATTCCGAGTCATAGCTAACTGTGCAGCAGCTCACTTCCTTCTCTAGGACAAGTAAAATGGTTAGGGGCCTGGGACACATTACTTATGAGGAGAGGCTAAGGGAACTGACCTTATTTAGTCTGGAGAAGAGGAGACTGAGGGTGGATTTAATAATGGCCTTCAACTACCTGAAGGGTGGTTCCAAAAAGGATGGAGTTAGACTGTTCTCAGTGGTGGTAGGTGACAGAACAAGGAGCAATGGTCTCAAGGTGCAACAAGGATATTAAGTTGGGTATTGGGAAAAACTTTCTCACTAAGAGGGTAAAGACACTGGAACAGATTACCCAGAGAGGCTGTGGATTCTCCATCCTTGATTGGTCTCAAAAACCTCCAAGTCTTTGTCTAGTTGGTAGAGGTGCACATTGGTCCCATGTTGTATCAGCACCAATGCAAAGAAAATTGACATAATCAGCTTTTTTCACTGATGTGGCTGATAATGTTGTCGATTAAATGCCCCGTGCATGCACTCAGCCGCAGTGTGGCATGCAGGCAACCAGGAGCGCAGCCCCAGCAGTGTGGAGAGCAGCATGCGGCTGGTAAGTCTATTGTTGGGGGAGGGAAGAGGTATGTGTAGTGGGGTTAGGGGCAGGCCCTGCAAGCCAGGACCAGGCACAGGACGGAACCGCACCTTGTTAGGGCGGCTTCCGCTGCTACGCACATCCTGGGAAGGAGTCCCTTGGTCTGTGCCTGGGAGATACTGGGTTCTTCCCCTGGCACACTGTAGGCAGCCCACCCTCGCCTATACACAGATCTAGGGGCACATGCACCCCTGCATGCCCTCCCTCAGTGTGCATAACAGTGGAAGCTGCTCCCTGTGCCCCCCAAGATGAGTCATGGCTCTGTCCTGTGCCCCACCCCAGCTGGGCAGCTCCTACCCCTGCCCCAGTCCCACTCCCTCCCTCACTAGGATGACCTCAATCTGCCCCACACCCCTTCCCTACCTCTTCACTTCTTCCCCCACAACAGACTTATCAGCTGGGCGCTTTTCTCCAAGCTGCTGGGCTGCTCATTGACAATCTAATCAGTATCAGCTGATTATGGCTCGTTAAAAATCGCCCATCGGTATTGTCCAAAAAAACCTCTATCTGTGCACCCCTATTTGGTCCGGATGATCTAGTTGGAGATGGTTCTGCTTTGAGCAGGGGGTTGAACTAAATGACCTCCTGAGGTCCCTTCCAACCCTATATTTTTTATGATTCCAATTCAGTGGCTGCTTCGGGCACAAGCTATAATGTTAACCCTCTCAAAACCACTAAGGAATTGGAAACTATTTGTCAAAGCTGCCACCAATTTCTTAGTGGCTGTGGGAAGGTTAACATTGCCTCTCCACTACTGCTACTTGCTGGCAACAGGAAGGTAACAGTCATTTTGGCATCTTGATGCTTCTGGTTTCCACCCCCCCCCCCCCCCTTTTCTAGTCCAGCAAAGAAAAATCAGCTTCCACAGTTAAGACGCACCCCAAATCATGGTAGGCTGTCTTTTGGAGGGAGAGGGATGCAGAGGCATATGTGGTATATGAGTAAATATATTTTGAAGAAAAGTTTAATAATGCTCTAGCTGTTGCATATTGTTGTTGTCGTTGTTATTATTGTTATTATTTACCTGCATTTACTACCGCTTCTATTTATTGGGTGGTCCTTAGGAAAAGAAGCCAGATTTTTTTTGTTCGTTTTCCTATATACTTACTTGAGTCTTTATTTCTATAGTTTATGATGAGAAGAAGAAATGTCTCTATGGACAACTGAAAAAATACCCAGAGAAACTAATCATCTACTCTAAAGATTTTAGAGTATTTCACTTCTGTCTGAGATGCACAAAGGAAGAGGAAGTAAAAAGGGTAAATATAGCATTACACACCTGATCGTAACAGTTTAACACCTACCTTTAGAGTTTTAGATATAACAAGATAAGTGTAGAAATTCATTTTTCTTTTTAAGAAATGGAAGGCTGGCTTTAGAAGTTATGCTCACACTTTTGAAATTGTCTTGCTTCTGAATAAGACTCGCTTTTGCTATTGGAAAGATGGTAATGGGAGGTTCTCTCCCATTGCCTTGCTTAACTAGTTGCTTTTGGGGTTTTAAACAAACTTTATTGTTTCATATAATCATTAGGGCTGTGCTAAATGATTGTTTCATTTCAGTTTTGGGTTCAGCATTTTGGAGGGACAGCAATTCATTTTGGTGTTTTGGATCACTGTCCTGTTCTGTTTCAGCCGAATCTGTTTCGCTGTTTCAGTGCTGTTTTGTTGTTTCAGCCATAGGCTATAATGCCTATAACTAAAATGCCTATAACTTTGTCATTTCTTGCCTGATTCAAATTAAAATTGCGGGGATAGTAGCCCTTTCTGAGGGCATGAAGCCTGTTAAGGTTCAAGGAGATGCATGTAGGGGTTTTTATGAAACTGCACCTCAAACTCTTCAAACCAAAACTAGTATCACTTGCTGGCAGTGGCAGCATGCTGTCATCCTGCGCACAGATCCGGGGGCCCATGCGCCGCAGGAAGAGTCCAGCACAGCCCCGCAGCCTTGCAGGGGGGCGTGAACCCCCGGATCTGCGTGCAGGATGGCAGCAGGCTGCCACTGCTGGCTGAGGCCAGTGCCAGCACTGGGTTTTTAATGGCACTCGGTGCAGGCTGCGCCGGGCAGACTTGGATGCTGGTGCTGGCCCCAGCTGGCAGTGGCAGCATGCTGCCATCCGTATGCTTCACATCCAGTGAGTGCAGAACTTAACAAAAAAACAAACAAACCCCAAAACCCTGCACTCACTGGGTGCGGCAGTGGCAGTTGGGGGCTTGTGGCAGAGCCCTGCCATGCAGTGGGGGCAGCGGGGATTCCCCCCCCGCCTGGCACCCATGCGGCAGCTACCCCATGGCATGGGTGCGTTGCGGCTCAGCAGGGCACTGTGTGCTGTCTTGGACCCAGGACAGCTCCACCTGTCAACCAGAGCTCCCTGTTCGATTCGTCAGTTCTCTGATCATTCCCCCAGCTGTTCCTGGGGGGTGCAGCCCCCCAGATCTGGGCACAGGCCCCCAGATGTGGGGTTTAAGCAGGCTGCTGCTGCTGCTGGCTGGGGAAATAGCTCGGAGCTGCCACCATCCCCAGCTGGCAGTGGCAGCCTGCTCTCATTCTGCGTGCAGATCAGGAACCCATGCTGTCTGGCAAGAGCTGGAGGAAAGATCAGGGAGCTGGGGAATTGAACCGGGGACTGAGGGAACATTCAAGGACTTGACCACTTCCCCCCCAGCTCTTCCTGGGGGGCACAGGCTCCCAGATCTGCATGCTGGGTTTCAGCAGGCTGCCGCTGCAGGCTGGGGCTAGCAGCAGCACCACAGTCTTCCCAGTGTTCGGTGCGAGCTGCGCTGAGCAGCTTCTGCTGTCCCCAGCCTTCAACAGCAGCCTGCTGAAACCCCGTGTGCAGATCTGGAGGTTCACCCCTCCACCTGCCACCGGGAAGAGCTGGGGAATCGAACCAGGAGCAGAATGTCAATATCAAAGCAGTCCTTCCTGCCCTCCTCCCTCCCTCCCTCCTCCCTTAGTTTTTATTTCCCTGCAAGCCTGGCTCTGAAACACTGAAATACTCCGAAACGTTTTGGAGCCTCCCATTTAGTTTCAGATTCGGTGTTTGGGGCACTGAAACAGCCTGAAACACCTCCAAAACAAAAGAGCTGCCAAAATTTTGCACAGCCCTAATAGTCATGTAACAGCCAGTGAATCTGAGCTCATACTGTCAAAAGAGCTTGGGAGGACTGTATCAATTGCTCGAGTCCTTGAAGTATGCGGTCTTGGATTGTGCTATAGGTATGCAACACGCTTACCTTTATTGTTATCCTGATTATATGTTGGCTTCTATTATAAATATAATATTTTGATAATTGGACATGCAAATTATTTCATTTGACACTGAAGGATAAATTTGGATATTTTCCTTTTTGAAAGGAGAAGGAATTTGAAAATGATTAGCTAAAAACTACAGGAACAAATTAGTTTTGAAGTTAGGCTTAAATGCACTTTCTAAGTTTTAGCACCTGTTGAATTTTGTCTTTCATATTGATCTGGTTACTTGTAGTATCTTACAAGAGGCTTTTCCAGAGTTGCAGTATGAAATCAGGTTCTTAAGAATTAATCATTTTGACTCCTATCTGTGTTGGTTCACAAGATAATTGGTTGTGCAGGACCTTCAGTTCTAACCCTTAAGCTAAACTGAGAGAGTGTTCACCAAAAAAGTGGTATAGTCACAATGTCCAAATTTGGTGGAATACAGACAAGCGAAGTGACTAGGCAGCATAATCAACACACACATGCTGTTCCCTTTATTGTTTGCAGCTACTATTAATACTAAAAGCTGAAACATACTGAAGTAATAGAGTAACAGTACATTTAGTGGTGAAGGGACAACTAAAAAAAGGCAGACTTCTAGTCAAGTCTGAAATATAGCTTAACTCTTAATGTATCTACAAAAGTGAATCCTGACCCAGTGGCTCGATCTGCATTGGGTCATGTGATGGCTTCTGGATTACCCTTTAAATTTAGGGCCAGACATAGTCCCTGGAAACCTGCATAGGCAAACTATTAAATTAAGTTTTGTATGCTTTATTTTGAACCTTAACAAAGTGGCGGTTTCAAAATGTTTAATTTAGTTTCCATCTACACATGCATTAATGTGCTTTAGTTAATATGCATTAAATCTAGTACCTCCATTGTGAGGTACTAGGAAAATGCGCATTAGCCTGTCTTAATGCACATTAACTTAAAAGCAAGGTTAAGTGACACTTAATGCACATTAGCTTATTTTAATGCACATTTACTGAAAAGCATGTTTTAGTAGTGCTTTAATGTGCATTAAAATAGGCTAATATGTTAAAGCACACATGCAGATGAGCCCCAAGGTTTCGTATTGGAGACTTGGCTCTTCTTTACATTAACAGTCTTTTAATAGTCTAGGATATGCTTGTATTAATTTGTTGGTCCTTTCATAGATCGTCAGTGGCATAGTACATCATAGCCAGACTCCTAAACTACTTAAACGCTTGTTTCTGTTCTCTTATGCATCAGCTGCACCAAACAGTCCAGGTAAACCTCAATTTTATACTTTTAGTACGTGTTAATTGTCAAATATGGTCACCCTGTTCCCAGCCTGCACCTGTGTTTAGTACCCACAAATATGATAGGTACTTGAATCTTCCAGATTTGGTAGCTGTCGAGCCTTTGAAAGGGACACTTTACACAAGCTTGCTGATGAAATGTCTAAACTTGTCAGTTGAATGCCCCAGTGAACTTTTATTGTAGTTTAGATGTAATATAAAACCTCAAATAAAATTTTGAGCCCAGAGAAGAATTACTAGATTCAATATGCAGGGGTGTAGGTTGTAGCCGTGTTGGTCTAAGGACATAAACAGACAAGGTTCCTCGGGTGAATTTGATATCTTTTATTAGACCAACCCAAATAGTTGGAGAATAGTTATTAAGCAAGGTTTTTTAACTCGAAAGCTTGCTTAATAACTATTCTCCAACTATTTGGTTTGGTCTAATAAAAGATATCAAATTCACCCAAGGAACCTTGTCTGCCTAGATTCAATATGCACATTATCAGCTTGTGGAAGTTTTGGATGTGCCTTATGAAACTACTTCCTGACGCACAAAATATTTCTAGTTGTTTTGTTTGTTCTTTTTTTTTCCCTTTTCCCTTTAATTCTTCTGCTTTCTATTCTGGTTTTATGTTGCCAGAGGGTGAACATAACTTCCTACTTTTTGCTCTTTTTGCCCCCCCAAACCCACCCCCAGCAAAAATAGTAACTTCAAAATTCTGTAAATCAAGCAGGCTTTACCTGGTGAAATTATGCAAACTAATTTGCCTAAACTTCCTACTTAGCCATATCTAAATAATGTACGGTAGCTTGAAGTATTATATTTTTAGTTTAAAAAATCACTGTGGACAATTTCTTAAATTGGTATTTTAGTAGGAATATAGCTGCTTTTGATAGTGCTGTTCAAATTAGGGTGGCAAGACTTATTTGGAAAAATGTTACAGAATTAACATACCATAAAAAAACCCAACATTTTTATTATAACATACCATAACATACCATAAAAAAATGCATCTCTTACTGTAACTGCCATGTTCTTTATTTTGGCTCTTCACACTATATAATAAGAACTGAGGGTAAAAATTATTTTCTTTGTATACCTAAACACTTGGTTATGCACATAGTGTGTGTCCTTCATTTTTTAACTTTGCCATAAGCATCCCTAGCTACAGCAGTCTCTTCAGCGTAGCTTAATATTTATCTTTAAATTTGTTCTTGCTATTGTACATTCCACTGAAGTTCTTGCTGTCTTGATAAGCACTTCATTTAGCCCATAATTACTGATATTGTTCTGAATTTTGTGGTTTTTCACCCTGGGAAGCTGCTACATAATTGACTTTTTGCCAGGCTTGTGCTCCAGAATCCAGACTCCCACTTAAAGCTTCAAGAAGGAGTCCAGTGTATCCATGCTCAGTTCCTCTTGGACACCTGATGAAACCGTGTTCTCTAGAGTTTGCTGTAAATGTGAGCACAGCAGAAAAGCAAACACATACTAAATTAGCACAGAGGCTACTATACTCATTGTATACGCTTTCATATTTAATGAAACCACATAGTCGGTTTCCAGTCAGCTGCATCGGGGTGTGAGGGAGTTAACTGCAGAGTACGTGGAAGGTTTTGAGCTAATCTTAACTGAAAGGAAGTTCTATAATAACTTAATGTGCAGCAGGATTTGAAAATCACTTGTCAAAGCTCCAGCAGTAGTTAAATGAAGGCCAAGTAAGATGGGACAGAAACATAGAATCTTCTGGACAAAAGTGTTTTACCTTGATGTGCTCAAACTATTCTGAATGTGGAGTGGTTCTATTTATGCATGGATTAAAGTGGGTTTCCTACAATACCATAAAGAACCTTGCCCAAAGACCCTTGCCTTTCTTACAATAGGAACTTTGCTACCCTTTAAAGAGGCTTTCTTGGAGACTTGGCAATGCTATTTTTTCTAATCTAATGGTTTTCTGACAGATGCAAAAAACAGAACTGTAATGTTTGATACTTTTAAAGACTGGCATGAGGAGCTGGAAAGGACCAAGGGGAATGTGAAATATGAAGTAGTGAGTGTCAATGAAGGCTACAGAGTCTCTGAAAAGTAAGTTTGCCCACTGAAATATTTGCATAACTTTCTGTAGTAATTGTTAACATTAGCATCAATTACTTTAAGTTTATACATGTTAAAGAGCTCTTGTCAGCATAAACTGTATCTGCAATAGGGGGAGTTTGGTATAGTTTTACAAGTGACCCCTCCATGTTGGAAAAAAAAATCTTATTTTCAAGTAGTGAGCCTTTTGTGTTGGGATCCAGCTACTTTAAGGATTTCATGGAACTCATGACAGCATACAAGTGTAAAGTGTCATATGAACAAGAAATGAATACCTTGTCCAGTTGAAATAAATGCTTAACTCAATCTTGCAGTAGCCAGAATTTTTTTCCTTGGTACCACTGAAGTGTTAACTGTAGGTAGTTTTCAGCATTATACAAAGAACATGATGGCTACTGTAGAGTTCTTAACTACAAGGAACATTTTTTCCTTTTTTTTTTTTCCTTTTTTTTTTTTTTAGATT